CAGTGACAGGACGAGGGGTAATGGTTTTGAACTAAAACAGGGTAGGTTTAGGCTGGATATAAGGAAGAAATTCTTTACAATGAGGGTGGTGAAACACTGGAACGGGTTGCCCAGAGAGGTAGTGGAGGCCCCATCCCTGGAAACATTCAAGACCAGGTTGGACAGGGCTCTGAGCAACCTGATCTAGTTAGCGGTGTCCCTGCTCGCTGCGGGGGGGTGGGACTAGATGACCTCTAGGGGTCCCTTCTGACCCAAAACTTTCTATGATTCTATGATTCTAAGATACATCAATTCACATGAGCATCTACTGAAAGAAAAGAAACAAGTTATCATAGGTGAGCTGTTTTAATGCAAGTTTTGAAATAGTTCTGAATAACTGAAAGAATTAAATCAGAGACATCAAGCCTGACTCCATACTAAAGGCTGCAAAGCATTCAGTTCCAGAACACACACTGAGGGCAAAAAATGCAGCGCACAATCATCCACCAAACAAAGCCTACATACACATTTCCAGAATGTTTTCTGAGGAAGTTCTGAAGACAGACTTCAGATCAAATACCTACTTGGTAAGAGAAACAATATCTAATCTTTCAGATCCAAGGACTTGGTTATAATTACACATGCCATTAATTCTGAACTTTTTAAGGAATTACTTCCCTTCACTTTTTTCAGCAGTGATTTGTGCTACCTAGCACTTTAAATGGACACAAGTTTTCTGATCACGGGTTACTGCATCTCAGTTGACAGACAGCAACACTTAGTTCTGCAGAATTATTCAAATTCAACTGCAAGAACACAACCAACTAGTGCAAGTCATCCATGAACCCCTCAAAAAGAACCTATTATAGCTACAATACAGATACAGTATTTTCAGCTACTACAAAATAGCACAAGATAAAATGCTCCACTGGGATCTCCTAATGAATTGCTGGTTTGTAATGATAACTGTCCAAGCACTGGCATACATCAATAACAAAAAAATTAAAGAGTTAAAAATAGTGTACAATGGCAACATTTGAATAGAAGCATATCATTTTAATTTGCTTTGAAGTTTAAAGCAATCCAAACAAAAGAGTTAACTATATAAATACAGAATAAATGCACATATTTTACAGCCAACTACATGTATGCAAGAATAATAGCAAGCCTCACACAAGCATTGAAGTATTCCCAGACTGTCATTTGTGAGTGTTTAGCTATGACTCTGAGGGCATAATTATGTTCACATATGCAGGGTAGGCAGACTCTCTTAGACAGAAGAACCAAAAGCTTACATAACTGAATCTTAACACAGAAAGTCGAAAGAAGTAGTATTTACCTAGGCACACTTCAGCGTTCAGCTTGTTTTCCGAATATAAACAGTTTGAACAGGAAGCAACATTTCTAAAGTCTCTCCAATCTTTTGTCTCTGGAAGCATTCCTTTAAAATGCTACAGTCTGAGTAATATTACAAATGTCATAAGAACGAAAACAGAGTAGCAGAAACTGTCATTAACAAACCTCTCAAAGTAAATATGGAGTGTATTATGTAAACAGGGAACTAGATAGGTGCAATGTCAATATACAACACAGGTTGATGTTTCACTTAATTAAAATAACCAAAAAACTTCATAAATCCCTAGTGTAAACCTACTTAAAACATAGGCTAGCAGATCAGAAATTCAGACAGAAACGGCAGATCTATCAGTCCATTTGAAGGCCGGGCTCAGCCCTCTGCAACACGCAACTCTCCTGCACAGCACTACAGGGACCAAGTGGGTAATAGAGGGGCCGTGAAACGTAACTGCATTCACTGAAATCTATTTTCTTTTATAGTTTTCCAAACTCGGGCCACCCTTGCCAGGTCCTCCCAGTGTGCCCCAGGCACTGGGTGACCACCAGCGCGCTGGAACACACCGAGCCCCTTCTTCCTCTGAGGAAGGCGTGCTCCGGTGCCATCTCCTGACTGGTCCAGGAAACTGCGGCCTCACAGCGTTCTCTAAACTGGTTGCCGTGTCAAAATGAACAGCTTGCGAGTAACGTTTAAGTTTTACCTAGGCAAGCAAAAAAAATGAGGAAACTAATTACTGAGAGTTTTTCAGACATCCAAGACCTTTGCCTCTAGCACAGAAAAGTGTAACATAAATACACTACATTCAAATATAAATCAAGATGACCATCTAAGTTATAGGAAATTTTAAATGCACTCCTTTCAGCTCTGTAGTTAACAACATTACTGAATGAAGCATCTTCTTAATCCTTTTCGGTTTTTATAACAAATATCAAGAAAAATATATAAACAGGGATCTTTGGGAAATATTTCAGAGGTAACTCTGTACATACTGGTATTTTAAAAATAACAAAAAAATCCCAAGAAACTTTGGATCCATGCTTTGTTACATAAAGCAAGCCAAAAAGGAGGTCACCCCTGAAGTTTAAAACATTGCTTCAACACCCATTAAGAAGGTGGAATAATAAGCTGATTGTCTGTTTTCAGCTTTGTCTCCTATTTCAATTGTCCTTGTTAACATTTTCTGCTTAGCAACTCCAGGGGGTCTGTTCTCACCCAGCCAAGGCACACACACAGTACTCAGTGGAACACGAACATGTAATCAAGGGAGAATGTATCCAATAAACAGAGGTGAGTAACTCTCATGAAGCCTAGGCTAATCTAAATGTTAACTGTATTCATGAACTCCAAAGCTGAATATTGTCTTTGCCAATTTAAATTTGACTACAACTGAATTATCTGGATAGCCTGAAGAGTAATCCACTTTCTACAGAACAAATGTTACAGTAAGCAGCTACTTCTGCACTTCGTTGACTTACCTGAGCAATGGCATCACAGCAAGACTTAGGTCAGAGTCATGAATACTCCAGATTTTTCCTAGAGCCATCACTAGAAAAAGCCCACTTTAGAACACACTTATAAGGACTCCCCCCTCACTACTTTAAAACAATCAAGTTCACCTTTGGTCACAACACAGACCATGCTATCTGTCTTTAAAAAAGGTAAGAAAAACTTTTCCAAGGAAAAGAATGGGCAATTAGTACAGGGAATTACATGAAGTACTCAAATACTTTGACAACATGTGGAGAACATGACAACGACCAACATAAAGGAGAGCAAATGAGAAATACCCAGACTGATTGTTCTGTAAGTTTCAAGTTTTTACATACTGCCTACAGAACTACTGCAACAGAGATGCTAAGGATCTACAGCATAAAATGTTCTATACTGCACAGCTTACATGGAAATCAAACCACACACTTTGTTTAAAACCAAACTGCATGTTTTGAACATGGTTTGACTACAGATAACCAGTAAGAGGAAGAAAAGTCACAAGCCCTAGAAAGGCCACAAAGTGCATAAGGTTCATAAAAAAGCCATTGCACACAATGCACAGTTAAGTTGTACTGAAGTATCACACTGGAAGAGTTGATAGCACAGTTCTGTCCAGACCAGTGTAGCAGCATTTATATGTAGAAAGCTATTGCCCCCAGTTTATAATGATCATCTTCCTCATAAGGATCATGGATACAGACTGAGAAGTACTCAAGGTGCAGATAAAAGATTTCTGTTTGGAAAGCTGTACAAGTTCTTGTAACATTAAACAGCTGATTTTGACACTCCAACTATATGGTTATGGAAAACCCTGTAAATTATGACAGAACAAACTAGTGAAGCCGCAATGCTGAATGCCACCACATTGTTTGCAATTGGCTTACAGAACAATAAAAAACAATGCCTAAATATTCAGACAATTTGGAGGACATGGCTATACTATCAGCTGCAGTTCTGTACACAGGCTCAAGTTGGAAGAAGTGATACAGCAACTATCAAGCAGAATGCTACAAGAAAATCTCAGTTACAGTTTTCTCCATCATTCTGCATAGATGCTGTGTGCACTGAAAAGATCTATGACAGCTTCAGCTGTTTTCTGCTTTGTGTTCACCTCACCCACCATGATATGTGTTCTCCTCCTGTACTCCCATACACATACTGGTAATCCAAGTCAGGCTTTGCCAGATCTTTTAGGGTAATACAGATTGTTCTTAGGTAGCATGAAACTACTTGAGTGAATCGTGTCTTGACAAATGGTAGGCTGGACTATCTGAGACTTCTCATCACATGATGAAACCTTAAAAAGGCTACGAAGAAGCACTTGGCAAGTTCTTACTTAGCAGTGTGAGTGACCTGACAGGTTGGCAAGAAAAACTAATAACATAGTAATGTTTCATAGGTCTCTCTTGCTTAAGGAAGGAAAGTTCCAGAAAAGAAACAGGATTATACAGCAGAACTAGGAATCCACATACACCAATATTAAGAGATTGATAACATGAAGAGTTCAGCAATCAGATCCTCTCTCACAAACCTACAACACTGCTTAAACTTTAAAGAAAAAACAAGTATCACGTTTTGTAGTGAAGTAATAACTCCGTTCTGGGTCCCTGTGCCATATTTTGTCTTGAGGTAGCAACATGGAAAGCTTTACACACTGACTACTACCTCAGTCTCTAGGAATCTTCAGTGCAACTGAATGGAAGTTGCAGGTATGGAAAGGTATGAAAGTACTGTCTTCTCCATTCTTCCAACAAGTTACTGTGCAGCAAAACAGGACACAAAGGATGTAGTTGAGAGCAATCACTAAAAAGTGGATAAGGCTGCCCAAGAATATAATTTATGCCCCCTCCCACACCCATCAGGTCTCTGAAGATGACTGAATGGCCTTGTCTAGATTAACAGATGAAAAGCAAGTAACAACTTTGATTTGAGATGTATAAAGGCATTCCCTAAGGGGCAGTTCCCATTTGTCACATTATCAAGAGAGCATACAATAAGGCAGCAAAATTATTCATAATTGCCTACAATCAGCCTTCTGTTTTGTCCATAGCTGCATGCTACTGATACAACTTTCCTTTTGCCCACCACATTGGCATTGATAACCAGCAGTCCACTTCAGTCTTTCAATCTTCCACCTTCTTCTAGGAAGCCTTGTCACACTGCTATCCATCGAGCAAGTAGACTACCACTTCATAGGTTGACATCATGATAGCTGTGTTTGGAATCTGTCTGACCAGATGTGTAGTTAAACCTCGGTAGAGGGATCCATACCCTTCTTCTCGCACAAGCAAAGATAGTGTCTGGAAGAAAGATCTGTATTTTGTTCCCTCTTCTCTTAGTCTGGTTCGTACAACCTCTGTACAAAGAAAACCACATGTGGTTATGTTCACCACTTCTCATTATCTCTCCCAGAAAACAATTAGTGATTTCACATTAAAAGGCAACCTTTCCCCCTCCCCAAGTTTTCAGCCTCACAAGAACTTGTAAAAAAAAAAAGGAGGAGGACAGCAAACAGAGAAGCAAAACAAGTATGTGTAAGAGGAAACCAAATTAAAATTTTGACAGTATTATATTTCTAAGCAAGGAAAGTTTATTTGCTTAGTTAAAATCCAAGAGAGGATGGTTGTTCGGGCTCACATTTTAGCTTAGATGTTGCCACTAATGAAATACTCAATCCATTAACACACTTAATGTATACACAACTACTTTTCAGCAAAATTAAGCGCAACTGAAAACCAAACTAGACAGCCTGTTTTTCTAGAAGAGGAAGAAGAACTTGCTGGCAAATTGTGTGAAATTGCTGAGTGTATAGAGAGATTCCATGTGAAAAGGGACCTCTTCCTTAAGTACTTTAGGCCATATCCTGGCAAATTCTTTGGAAAAAATAAACACTGCCTAAAAACAGGCCACGCTAGATACCCACTTAAAAATACTTCCATTTCTGAATACCATACTCATGTTGACTAGCTGAATCTGACGTGAAGCTTTAGACTAAGAAATAGTTCTTGAGCAAGTGAGCCAAAGTCTGCTACAAACATCACTGACAAGATTCCCTTTGATCACCGATTCAGCATGTACACGCCCCACTTACCATGGGGATATGCTATTGATGTTGCACAAGTTTTAGAAGTGGCAGCAGCCATCATCATTCCAACAAAGTCCGAAGCTTCTTTTGCCGATTCATCCTCATTGTCCATGGCAGAAGCAGTCTTATACTCCAGTAGTTTTCTCTTAATACTCTCATAAATAACAAAATGAATAACAGTCTCAGATATGCCTGCGTAGGATGCTGACATTCCTCTGTAAAAGCCTTTAATACCATCTGATCGATAAACTTTTTGGACACATTCAAAAGCACTCATTCGCTTTTCTCCACGATTCCTAAAAAGCAGAACACAAGACAGACATCAAGTTGGTGCAACTTGAGACTGGAAAACAATTAAACAGTTTTATTTGAGTGACAAGAGGACTTGGGAAATACCTCACACCGATACTGCGGGGCTCCAACTCAGATTTAAGCACAGAAAGAACCTGAAGTGAAAGTCTCAAAGGCCTTTAGCACTGAACAAAGGTAAAACATTACACTGAATCCAAGCCAAACTTCACATGCTGACTAAAGAAAAAGTATCATGTACACAAGTTGAACACCTCTAGGCCTCCCCAAGTCTTACAGAATAAAAGACTAAATTGCTTGAAAACAGACTCCTAAACGAACTGTAAATGTCAGCGACTCATGAAAAATTAACATCATCTGCACAATGAGAGTGGATTTCCCCTAAATTTTGCTTCTAACAGCTCCATAGCATAGCAATTACCCATCCTGTTCTGGAAGCCCAGGTCTTGCAGTACAACCTTTAGAATTATATGGCTATAAGGCATGTGAACATGAAAGCAACGGCTAAGAGTTCGAATAGCAGGCCTCAACACCACAGCTACCAGCAAACAACTAAGATATCCAAAGGGAACATACCAACTAATACAACACAGGTAGCTTTTATTTGATTCAACTAAGCCACTGCTGATATCAACAAAAATGCTCATAAAACATGACTGCATCAACCAATATTTGGTAAATAAAATCTTACTCCCATTTTTAGCTTGCTTACTGAATTGAGTTGTGCACAAGTCACACAAAATAAACCAGCAAATAGCCTTGCAGGAAGTTATGATAACTGATACTGATACCGTCAAAGCAAGACAGACAGGATCAGCAGCTATTATGCAAGCAGAATGAGGCATCACTAGATGGCAGAATTGAAGTCCTGATGGTTTGAACCTGCAATGTCAGACAGCAATGAAACAAGGTACCAAGCACAATTAAGAGAAAGAGTGGGCACAGAGCTGTGAATCAGATCTTGAGGAAGCTAGGTGGCAGATGCTGCAGAGGACTAGCCGTCCTGGTGCTGATCTGCTGACAGGCAAAACAAGAGTCAAAGAACAACTGGTGAGATGAGCAGCTGGACCTACAGCTGCCAGCTCCAGGGGCACCCCAATCCCCACATCCCTGGGGCTCATTAACGTATTTAGGATGGTTGAGGAAAGAGTTTTACATTGCATGCTGTTTTCAGTAAGAAAGTCTATGAAATGAACAAGACAGCTGCAATTGAGACACTTGCATCATATCAGTTTTTCCCTGCAGTTTTAAACAGATAGAAATACGATCTTCCTTCCTCCTTATTTGCATAAAATACTTCATTAGAAGTTTTGTAGTAAACTATTTCTGAAATTGATTCTCTAATATGTCTAAAGAACTTCTACTGACTGTCCCGCATTAGGACAGTTTCTGTGTTTGGATCCATGAAAGCAGTATTCCCTTTTTACAGTAGGCTAGAGCTCAGTATGTAAAAAATGAAAACCCTAAGATTTCAGGCATTTTTCTAAACTTTTGCTAAAATACTTAAATCCTTATTTCAGAGATGTTTAGCTCAACAGCTAAAACCAAAGAGAATTACTGAAGGAAAATGTAAGCATATGGTTGGTAGAACATTATTTTGAGCCTATAACCTTGTAATTAATTCCAAATTTGCTGGCCAGTCCATTATCGTGGCTCAAGCATGAATCAGAACACTATTAAAATAGAGAAAAGTGATAGTATAACTTGTAGATAGATCAGCATCAACTTTCTAGTTTGAAATGTTGGATATTTACAGACTCATTTCATTTAAGTGAAGTCTTCTCACAGTAGTGAGATTTCCCATTGTCACTAGCAGTTTCTCTAATTAAGACGATACTTACCTTGCATCAAGCTGTAACCGTGTCTTTATTAGCCAAATTGGATTAGTTGTTGTGATTGCAGTAAAACCTAAAATATTTAAAAAGAAAAGTTAGATGTGATAGTATAAAAGCAACTGCATCTAAGTTCAAAATGCACACAGTAAGGTACAGTGGATGCAAAACTCAGACTATACTGATTTTTAGAAAGTACCTATTGAAGCCCTTTACTGATACTTTATGAATCCATACAGCCAACAAATATTTAGCTTATTTTTTAGTTTTACATTAATATTGAGTAAGTTTGATTCTTAGCAAGAGACGCCCCACATAAAATAAGCCCAATTGTGTACACTTCACCTACCTAATCATACCAACCCTGTTTTGACACCATAAGGCAGCAAAGCTAGCTAGACTAACATTAGCCAATTTGGGAAACGTCAATAAGAACGTACTGCAGATACAGCTATAGCAATTTGAGATGATATAAAACATTGTGTCAATTTAATTTGCTACGTGAAATACAATCAGAGTTTAAAAGCATGCAGACTGAATAAATACTACTTTTGATGCAGTTAAAAGGCATGTATTACTGTAAGTTAAAAGACCTTTTAATACTGAATTATAAAGAGCAGTTAAATTTGAGCACTAGTGTTTTATTTAGTGTTCAAAGCAGAGATTGTTGGTTGGCCCAGGAATACTTTTACAAGGATATGAGAGTTTAAATTATTAAAGTAACTAGAAGGATTTCTAACTATACAGACAGACAGCAACTATTCAGGCTTGCATAAGGCCTAAGGGTTAAAGCTTTGCTTTTCAGTCCACTAAAGAAAAAGAAAAGAGAAAAGGAAACAAATTAAAAAAAAATAAATAAAGAGAAGAAGTAAGAATCACTCTTACTTCTGCACAACCGTGAAGAGAAAGAGAGCAGAGTGAAAGGCAGCATCTAGAGTTGTAATACCACACGTGCACCATTAATGAGGTGACATGTCTGCAGGAGAGAAAAGGAAAAGGGAAGAGCTGGAACGTGGCCAGGCAAGAGATGAAAGATTTAGACACTTGCTTTCTAAGTGACACACATCACTTGTATATCACTACAAAGACATGCTGCCCTCCTGCAAGGGGATGGACTGGGGTTGTCAGAAAGCAACAAAGAGTTATCTTGGTTAGCACATATCTGGTGCACAATACTTAATACAATGAACGGGCTATCAATAAGCTTGTTTATGGAGATCATTAACAGCTTACATATATATATATTTAGCAGAACTGCTTGCATACATGTTACTTTTGTTCAATCACAATCTAGGTTTACATTGCACACAGATGACTGCAATACTCGGAGAAATGCCAGGGGATCTTAACTGTTTTAAAGTTTGTTCTAACTCCCACCCCAAATCTTATGTGAGTCATTGGGATTTTCAGGTACAGTTCTAAAGACACACTATGAGGTTTAGCAGCTACTAAGAATTAGCTGTATTTCTGTACGAAGATAGTAAAACCCCATTAGGTATTTCAGTTAAATATTTTTGATTAAATAGATTGACTCAAACCTCTTAACTAAATAGCTTCCTGTGAATTCATTGGATAAATAAAGGTTTGGATGTGGCTTTTTCTGATATATTACTCTTTTTTTAATGTGCATACATGTCCTTCATCTAATGGAGTGAAATGCTAACAAGCCAAAAGTGCTTTTTATCTGCATTTCATGTAGGCAAACAATTATGTAAAAACTCAAAGCATCAGGGGACTACTCTGCCACAACAAGGCATGGAATGTTTTTAGAACACGTCGCACCTGCAAAAAAGCCTTTTGCAGTTCAACTAGCCAGAGCCCTTCTGACCTGTCACTTAATGCCATATAAACTCCACTGATTCCAGCAGCACTTGACCCAGAGTTGAACTAAACTGAAAGATAACATTGTTATTGCATTTTTTATTTCTTTATACTGGCATTAACAAAGCTTTAATTTTCTCTTACTTCAAATCAGAATCTTTCCATATCTATAGTGCTGTCAGGGGCACTAGGAATGCCAGGACTGCAAAGGCTGTTCAGTAAGGTGGGGAAAAATAACTTCCCATACCAACATATGAAAGACTTCTTTCAAAAAAAAAAAAAACCAACCCCAAAACAAAGTTAGTCCTAAGTCCCTCCTATTTCTTAATTAGAAGTGAACAATACAAAAAAGTCTTTTGCACTCTAACTTAGATGCTTTGGAATTTTGTTACTGCTAGACTGCATGTTACAGCGTTATCTGCTCAACCCTTTCTCCTTCCTATTCAACCCCCAAAAAACAGCCTCTGTAGATCCTAAACCTGAAACAGGAAACACATAGGTGAGACCAGAGGCAGTGTCTGAATGGCAGTAGACTGTATCTGCCCACAGCAGCAGCCCAATGCTTCTAGGCAGGCTGCAAAGAATATACTGGAAATTGCCAGTGAAGGGTGGTTTGCACAGCAAGGACACAGCTTACTCAGTCTGAACTTGCACTCCCTGGGTTGCTCCAGACATTATTTAAGTACAGCACACCTAACAGTAGGATCAGACACTTAGCAGTATAGCAAATTTTTTTTCCCTAGAGCTGTTGTAAGCCTAAATAGCATGACAGTTCAAACCAAAGCTTTCAAATCAAACAGCCTTCAATAATTCAGGTTTCAGTATGAAACAACTACAGCTCAATTCTTACGGGTAGTATATAGTAAATACCCTTAGTGGCAGAAACATAAATTAACAGTTGAGTTATGCTGAACCAAGGAGAGCACTCCAAAACACAAAACACCCAGAATTTTAGGTTCTTTGATAATATAAGCTTTTCTTCTTAAATACAGAAAATCTGTACCAAAAGTACTGGTTAAAAAATAAAGGTGGGGTGCTTTCAACAACTACTATGAAGCTCTATCAGTTGTTTCCTTTTTCTTTTTTTCCTTATTTTTTTTTTCTTTTTAGAAGTCTCAGGGAAGTTTATAATGCTTTGCCATGTTTATCACTGTGATATATCCTCAAGAAAGATTAAGATTCCAGATTCATTAGAAGTGTAGATCAATTTGGCAATACCAGAAACTCCTGTACTTCTGTTTTATTTTCATCTATGAAATTGTATCCCAGTTTCACACAGAAAGAATTATCTCAATCTACTTTCTGAGCTATATCAACTACTGACAGGTAAGATCCCAGGTATTCCTATTATGCATCACATTTCAAAGGTTAGGGTTTTTTTTTTTTAATCTATAAGCCAATGTAATTCATACAGACACATGAATATGAAATGATGAATTAAAATCCAAAGTACTAAAATAAAAAGAAACCAAAAGAGAAAACAAAGAGACAGAAAGGAGATCGTATACATATTTAAATAAGAAAAGAGGTCTTTGAAATAATGTGACAACACAGAATATCAGCTGCAGCACTTTAAAGGCAGCTCTGGAACACTGCAGGGGGCACGGGGGAAGGCCTTATTTAACCCAGTAGGGACATTCAGTTAGCCAGAGTTAAGTAAAGTACCAGCTACCAGTGAAAGGTATTTTCCACCTTTCCCTGAACTGCACAGAAAAAAAAAAAACAACTCTTAATCGAGTTAAGAAGTGATGTCTTTGCACAATGCCCACCATTTGAGTTCAAGATAAAGAAAGTGAGTTCCCCTTATTTTGTTTATTTAATAGATATTACAAACCAAATGTGTGGTTCTTACACTAGAGGCTGCAAGAGACGCTCAGTTCAGTACTCACGAGGTTTAAGTTAGTCCATATTTCTGCAGGAAGTGACCTGCGGATGGGGAGCATGAGATGACACGATCTCACTCTTTTCACAGGAGAAATGTACAGTAAATGCCTAAAATAGACACAGGCTTTTCTGTATCATAACAACAAGCAGTGACCTCATCAGACACATGTGTACAAATTGAATCCCATTGGAAGGATCTGTGAATTAGTTATTGTGAGATCTAACTGTTTTCAGGTAAAAGTTTAGGAAAAAAAGAAAGAAAAATAATCAGAACAGGCCACAGATAATTAAAATAGTTGTGTAAAATGCACTGAGTACTGAAATTTCTGCTCATTTGCAGCAGTTCAATTTTTTATCTCCCAATACTTACCTATATATCAAATTTACAAGTGAACCCTCCTTCTTCCCCACTCCCTCCCAAGTATTCAGAAAAGCTAGCCTTGTCTAGCACTGAAAAAGATAGATGCCTTATGAAACCAAACTTTCTAATATCAGTAATCAATGACTGCACATGCATTTTATTTGGTATTAAGTAACTGTGTACAAACTACTTAACTTACGAAAGTATGGTATCTTTAAGTAAAAGTGGTCCCAAATTTTGTTAATAAAAAAAATAATCTACACTTGGGCTGGTTTTCCAGTAGAGTTCCAGAAAGAATGGCAATAGCATACAAGGCAAAGTAGTTTTGCAACAGATTTCCAACCATGTCATCTAAATAAGGCTATGAATAATTCAAAAAGCAAATCAGAAAGCCATACAGGAATCAAGTTTTTAATTCAGTTCTCTACTGAAGTTTTTATTCTCCATTGTGGCAAAAGAGATTGAGTCAGTGCAATAAGTAGGCAGAGTTTATAATAAATCTGAGAATTTTGCCTAACTGAACCTATCTTCACACAAGCAAGCTTCCTCATTCTTGTAGTATGCTTCAGATATATTCACTGTCCAAGTCTGCAAAAAGAGAACCATGTGATGTGCCAAGTAGTAAGCAAAAGAGATTGCGAAGTATTTCTTCATGTCAATACACAGGTATTTTAGGTATGAAGGTGATGCAAATTACATGCTGGAAGCTAGCACACAGCTACAGAAAAACATTAATTTCTAATTGCATAAGGCATCAGTTACTAATACGCAGCACAATTCATCCTCCTCGGGATAAAACAAACTTACTAAATGAACCTTAATAAATCCAAAAATATATGTTTTATCTTGAGAAGAAATAATCAGGCCTAAAACAAAAATGCTTAAAACACCATACCTCAGATTCTTGCTCCCAAAAATGCTATGTGCATAAAATAGTCCTTGTTTAACAATGACATCAGTCTAGCCTGAGATACTTATGTATTAACATACGATACAAGTAAACAGTATTTGAAGTCAACTGAAATTTACTACTTACAGTATTTTCATACAACAGTAAATTCCTTTTTTTTTAAATTGTATTTTTGCATCATTATTGTATTTTGCAACCTACAGGAAAAGCCTTCTAAGTGCAAATGCCATTTCATGCTCATTAGATATTAAAAGCTTTTATGTAACAGAAAGGTCATATCCAAACAAAAATACCCTCATTTAAGACTGAGTTACTCAATTCCTTACTGAAACCATTGGCAGCTGCAAAAGAAAAAACCAATACTGATTATTTTTTTGGCTAATTAGAAGTGTTTATCCACCTTGCCAATTTTGAAATCTTGAGTTCCAAAGCAAGTATTAAGGTGACCTTCTACACTAACCTGTTTAAGTCAACCAATTAAGAGGTCACATTTGATCTTTTGCCATTTCCTTAAGTTGATCTGCATCACATAGCAATACAAACCTTGCAGGTAAAACTGTTAATAGCTGGTTTAAGTGCATTTTCTGAAATATATTAGAATTACAAAAACATGGTTAGCATGGTCCCAAGAAAGCACTGTTAATTTTAGATAGTCCTTTACATATAATTCAAAATTCCATCAGTAATGAGTATCAAGAAATTATTTGTCAAAAAACCTTCTCTCAAAGGTCTTCCAGAGAATGTCTGTAGTATACGGTGCCAAGCCATTACAAGACAAATAAAACTGTGACCTGTAGTGTGAACCTGCACTGGACATTCAGTTTCATTGGCTATTTAGTTCAGCGATACAACTGCAGAACTAGGGAAATGTAAGAAAGATAACAGCCACAGAAGTGTCCAGTAATAAAGCTGGTATAGAAATGTAAAAAAAAGTTAAACAGCAATTAAGGCTCAGATAGGTTTACCCCAGTCTCCTAGAGTCGTAAGTACAAATGCATTATACCAGCCTTTTGGAAGGGCAGCAAGTCAATAAGCACATACAGAACTACTTGACAAACTGCAGTCTGTCTGCAAGCGCTGCAGAAAAGTCACTACAGCACATCTCCATAAATGTTATTTTCATTGTGGAATGAGGGCATAATTTTCAAAGACAAGGAACATTCTGAACCTTTGTCTACAGCACTGCATGAGTTACACAAGTTGCCTTCAATTGAGGATAGACCTATTTCTATTACTCATACTTCCCCCCTCCCCGAATATAAAGACATGTTTTATCCCCTTGACAAAGAGCTGAAGACAAGAAAAATTAGTATATAATTAGGGTTTCTGGAGCAATTAACTGATTAGAATAAACTTTTCATGAAATCTCCTCCCATGTCATTCCCCATGCTGTTCACCTACAAAACACACATTTCCAGGTGATAAAAAAAAATATATTGCATCATCTGAGCACCTTATTTTGCCTATTTAAGACAAAATGGCTCTCCTTGTATCTTGAGTCAGAAGATTAGACAAAATTGCTCGCCTTAAATATTTAAGCCAGAAGACTAAAAACTGCCATCACATTTCTCAAGTGCTACAGACAAGCATTAGTGTGTTAACGTACAAAGCTAATGCCAGTGACTTTCTACTATATAAGATTTCTTTGTATCAGATTATTAGCAAGTATTAAATAGAAAACTAATCATCATTCTGACATCACCTTTGGCAGTCCATTCCAGATTGCTAGTACTCACATTATATACACTGGTTGTAGAATTTGACAATTAGGAACTTCAACAGGCTACCACAAGAATGTCAGAACTCATCTGTGTCTATGGCTTATACAGAAAAAAGCTTTTGAAAATTTGTTTTTGTGTAAGAAAGACATCAGCAATAGGCAAAGTGCTGCCAGCCCAAGTTTTGATTTCCCCAGCTCAAGTCTGTGACCATAATTCAGCTCAGTGGCCTTTAACTCCTCTTGTTAGTGATCCCAAAGCACAGAACATACAAATCAAACAATAAATATTGGTAGCTGCTAAAATATACCAAAGTTACACTGCAGATATAAAGCAGGAATTCATTTCCAGAGATGAAAATACATCAAAACTACTGAAATCTGTTCTTCTATGTCACTTCAGTGGTAGAGCAAATCTCACACAGACTGGTATTTGAGCAAAGGAAGAGGGGGTGTTACACATAATTTATACAAATATCTGTAGGTGTATTTCAGAAGAAAAAAGCAAGTCAGATATACAAAGCTGTTACAGAAAAAGAGATGATAAACAGATTAAGAAGCATTAAGCAAGAGTTCAGTGCAAACAATGTTGTTTATAGCTTGCAGAGCAAAACATTACTGTTTTGAAGGTTTTCATTTTACATTTCACACATTTACAATTGAGAAAACAGGCATGCAAGTTTTCCAAGCAAAGACTATTCACACACACGCAGATCTTCATTAACACCAAGTGCAATGTTTCATACACATTCTCCACATAGCTTGCTTAATGAGAGACCAAAGAATGTAACCACTACAAAGAGATCAATCACTGAACTTTTTCTGTTTTATTTTTTCCACATTTATCGCCCCCTCTTATTTGTAGACAGGGCTCTAGAACAAAGCTAAAAAGTTACAGATCCTTACCTGCCACACCAGCTGAAATCATGTGTACCTGGGTAGAATCTGGATTGAAAATATTGTTCAATTTTTCCTTGCAGTTTGAGTAAGCAGCAAAATATATCGCTCTAAAATCAGAACAAAAATCCAAGTTACATTTTGTGTCGACACCCTTACAAGCAGTGCCCCCAACTTCACTAGCTCAAGACAATCTTGGTTCAAGCCTTATTTCCTAATTAGAAAAGTACTAAAGGAATAATACTTGCAAAGTAGTGGGACTATTTGGGGAGGGTGGGAGTCGGGGGGAGAGCATACTTTACAACTTTTCCTTCCACAACAGCTCCAATTAACAATTAGTGAGGGGAAGGATAGGTAATTAGAAATATGGCAGTGATTTTTGTGACACTAGGAAGTTTAGCCAGGAAAGCTAAACACTGCTGAACTAAGCGGAATTGCAAAATTCTGTATGTCTTTAATAAGGGATCAAATTTGTATTAATGGCCATAAGCCCTATTCAACAGCACTACAAGAGAACTAGCAGTATGTAGCTTTTTAAAACCAAACAGTATGCTTAATATTTATAATATTGCTCTAGCATTTCAAATGTAAATATTAATAACTGGCAGTTATACAAATGTATATTTTAAATGCTAGAACAACTGTTTCTTCAGTTCTGTATTTAAATAGACATAGCTTTTTTCTCTGAATATACTACAAAGAAAAGTATTTGTAAATGCATACTATGTTCAAGTCTGAGCTGGTATCAAGACAAAGCTAGACAGAAGTCAGCATATAATGTAATATATTAGAAAAAAGGCATATTTTCATCATTAAAGCTTAAAAAACTTATTTTAAGCACATCTAAAACTCGCAGTTAACATTCTAATTTTTTTAAACTTAGATAACCTCTGCAAGAGATAAAGTTGAACATGTAAGTTTACATGAACAGAACATTAACCTCATTAGCTGTACAAACATGTTTTTCTTTATTAGAAAAAGGTAAAGTGCTTGCTTCATGGGTGCAATTTCTAAAATGGAATCTGAACTCAGTTAAGTATATTGGATATATTATGAAACATGCTTATTTAAACAAAGAGCTGCTGTTAAACCCACTTAGCTAATGCTTAATTGAAATGAAGTACTGGACGAATATCGAGTCAGCTGGAGGGGAATGAGGATATGCTTATTTATAAGACCTCACACATTATACCAAGTTGACATTTTTAGTGTGAACACAGGGTTGGGAGAAACAAGCTAAGTATTTCACCTGGGGGAAGGGAATTAGAAGATATAACAGAATTTACTGAAATGAAATACAGGTTTTTTTGAGGATATTTCTCATTGAGGATAGTCACTTATAAAATGAAATTCACTGCTGCATAAAAATTGCTGTTAAAAAAATAAGTCAGCACTGAACATTCAGATCTAGACTAGACTACCAAAAGTACAGGCTCTTCAGTTTAAGAAGTACCCTACGTGTGTCAAGAACAAAAAAGCTACTGGAATTACTTCAGCTTCTCCAAAAATCAGTGCTAAGTTAGTCATCAGAAAATCTCAAGTATTCCTAATTACTTAAAAATTCTGCTAAAATAAAAGTACTCCAATTCCTGAATTATGTTTTTCTCTTATTCATGCCAAGGATATACAGAGCAACACCTCATCTGCCAGATTTAAGACAAATCAATGCTAAATGGAAAGTCCAGTTTAATAAAATCTTCCAGAAGCATCCAAAGACTTCAGACCAAAATGAAAAAAAAAAAAAAAAAAAGAAAGCAGGGCACTAAGTTAGGGGAAGAATAACATTTTTGTGAATATATTCCCTCTGCATAAAGACACTTTTCTGAAACAGAAAAAATGGAATAAAAATGGGCCAAAAAATAACTATAGCCTCTTCCATGATTAAGTAGTTACATTAGTTTTACACAGCTTTTTTCCATACTCTTGCTTAGGTATTCTCCTATTTTTGAACTGACCTTAGGCTAACACTTGTATGTGAAGATCAGTTCAAACTCAGGCATAACCTGCACCTCACTGACTGCCAGCACCAGCCAAGTAGCTAGAGCATTTGTGCCAATGTACAGCAACTGACAGCAGCAAAGCCACTGCCAGTTAGACCAGATTTACACCCTCATCTGCTGCACTCTTACACTGCTCCAGTACCCTTCAGTCAAGCCCACTGCTGGATCTGCTTCCTCTGGGACAGCTGTGAGTGTGTCATCCTAGCCAGTCTTGCCCTTTTTGAAGTTTGAGAACAGGCTTCGTACTTCAGCGTGACAGCAGCCTGTGCTTCACCAGAATTTGGTAAGAAAAACCCAGTGTTTTAAGACTACAGTCACACAATCGCTTCCTGAAGATGACAGATTAACTGAAAGCTAAATCTACCTTTGGGTGCAAACTTCTTGTTTACATGTGGAACTCCTTTTCCTTCTTAACTGGACAAAACTGCATAAGGGACAGTATACAACAGTAAATACTATTCTAACAGTAGATAGGATAGTAAATACTGAGAAAGTTGGTGCAGGGATGTGGGACTGAAGCTGTGGAGCACAAGCATGGCTCAGTCTCTCAAACAATGAAATTACTCCAGGAACCAAAGGTTATTTGCTATTAAGTATTTACAGCTGCAGATGCAAAAACTCACTTTAAATAAATCTTAAATCCTGCAAATAACATACAGCAACCAAATTTCATCAGAAGTGTTTAATTTACCTGGAAGGAGCAACGCCTACTAAATTAGGACCAAGCCCTCTAAACAGAGAACGAGGACCTTCCTTTTGCAAGATCATCCTAGAAAACAAAAAAGTGACAATACTAACATACACATCAAAATTAAGGAAGACACTGACTACTGTGACTACATCATTTTAAGCTTTACTCTGTGTAGAACTTTCATAATAACTGACAATGCTGACCACAAAAGATTAGTCATTTCCTAGAATCAGCATAAAATTTAATTCCATTGTTGCTTGACATGTCAGAAATCCAGGAACTAAGTGCAGAAGTAGAGCCTTATGACGTCAATACAAACTTACCTCAAAGACTGGAGCACACACATAGGCTGAGTTATCTGTTATTAGGAAATTAAAGAAAGTGTCCTTTTATCAGAGAGAAAATACTAAGCATGGAATTGTTCATATTCCTGTAGGTTCTAGAGCGTTTGAGACAAAAATTTTTTAATTTTGTTCTACATTCTTTTCATCACCTTTTAGCTCCCAATGTTTTTTGGGTGGGAGGGACAGGGAGTGAATGGCAAGAGAGGAGAAAGACTTATGAAGGTTCAGTTACAGCAAGTCATACACCTTCCGAGAGCAGCTCAGGAAGATGTCAGCTCAAGTGCTTATCATGCCCAGCCACGCACATCTTTTACAATCTATTACCTGCTCTTCTCAAAAAGACACAAACCCCCAGCATGGTTTTGCATGCGCTACTCTGGTTTGATCCTACAAGACTCCTAGCAGTACACTAAGTTACATGTCAGAAGGTAAACAGCCTTTCAGATACCAAGTCCTGCCTTTCCCCATCCCCATCCATGATTTAAATCCACTAAGCATTCAGCTAGAAACCCATTCTTAGCTTTATTTTTTCTATAAGATTCTGTGATTATTCTAACCACAGTAAAAGGAAATGGAAACTTCCAATGTGAGAAGCAGCCCTTCCTTGAGGTTAGCAGGGATTCCCACCTACCAGTTCTGAACTGATGCCTATGTGCTCCTACCTAAGCACTGTTGTTGGGCTGTGGAGCCAGCTTTTTTTCCTTTTCATCTCATTCCAGAAAAGACAATCCTTACCTCCTCATACAAGGTAACTCACTTAGGTTTGAGCTTAACTGAAAAAGGACCGTAATCCACACAAAGAACCACAGTACAGCCCTAACATCTCTTGGGACCACATCCACTACAAACACGGCTCTAGAAAGACTGCTTGGGTGGCAAGGGGGTGTCACCTTCCATGGCTGTGTGATTTACACAGACTCTCAGGGGTTGCAAGGGACCTCTGTGGGTCATCTAGTCCAACCCTCCTGCCGAAGCAGGGTCACCTACAGC